AGCAACTAGAAGGATGTGCAGCTATGACATACAACTATCTACTGGGGCTTTGGGGGGAAAAAATAAATAAATAAAATCTTTAAAAAAAAAAAGAGCGTGCGCACTTAATCCCTTGCGCCACCGGGCCGGCCCCCAAAATTTTATTTATAGAGGTTGTCTCTCAATAATGAACTTAGCGTGGTTTGAAAAAATAGTTTCCTGAACCCACCTTCCTTCTTTCTTTTCTAATATGTAAAGGCCCTTTAGGGGAGAAGTTTCAGAAGAAAGGTAGGAGTGGGGTAGGGGGCAAGTCAAGATAATCCTGGGGAACTGGGGTTCTGAAAGGTTGACAATATTAACAACAAACACGTATTGTGTACTTAGTATGTGCCAAGCAGTGTGCTAAGTTTTTACTGTATTAACTTATGGATTATCTAGTTTAATTCTTATAGGCAGGTATCCTTGTGAGGAAGTGTTATTATCATGCCCACCTTATAGATAGGGAAATGGAGCTCAGACTGTAAACCTTAGAGAGGCTAATAATCTGCCCAGGGCCACACAACTGGAGGAACCAGGATTTGGAACCAGGCAGGTTGGCTCTAGAGCCTGAGGTCTTTCTTATTACATTTGAGGGGCAAATGAAATATTTCCAAGTGAGAGATCTGTGTATTTGTTTTGTTTTGTTTTTTGGTGAGGAAGATTGGCCCTGAGCTAACATCTGTTGCCAATCTTCCTCTTTTTGCTTGAGGAAGATTGTCACTGAGCTAACACCTATGCCCATCTTCCTCTATTTTGTATGTGGGATGCCTCCACAGCATGGCTTTACGAGTAGTGTGTAGGTCCCCGCCCAGGATGCAAACCTGCAAACCCCAGGTTGCTGAAGTGAAGTGTGTGAACTTAACCACTACACCACTGGGCTGGCCCCAGATCTGTGCATTTGTAACAGATGGAGTAGTATCAGGGAGGGCAAGACTGAAGAAACCGGAGAGGGGATGAGATTCATTCATTCTACAGCTGTTTATTGAGTGCCTACTGCACACCAGGCACAGTTCAAGGCAGTGGGGCTCAATGATGAACAGGCAGGGGACAGTCCTCCCCATGCTTGGGGAGTAGGGGTGTTCACGCATCAGAAAGGGAGAACCACAGCAGACAGGGGGAAGGTTACCTCTCAGAGGAGGAACACTTCCTCTGACCCTGAAGAGGGCAAGGTTCAGTTGAGATGGAAATATAAGGAGGAGGAGAATTTGTTCCGGAAGATCTCAGGAGATAAAAGTGTGAGCAATTCTTAAACTTTTTGGGTCACAGAACTCTTTGAGTATCTAATGAAAACCATGGGTTCTATCTCCAGAAAAATGCACATTCACACAAGCAATTCATGAGCTCCTGAGGTGCAGGTTATAGGAGAATTGTTTTTGAGGCAATAGGTTAGTGGACCAACTCCACAGGGGAGAGGTAATCCCAGCCGTTTCTCCCCAGATCTTCAGCAGATCTGAGATGGGCAGGAAGAGGCCTGGCCACCAGGCCCTGAGACACCTGTAGATTCCCAGGCAAGAGGAGTGCTCCTTTGCTTCTCCCCACCCCCCAAGTCTCTTCCTCACTTACCATGGGTCTGGGGTCTCGTTGGCAAGAGCTGAGGCTTCAGATCTGGGCAAAAGTGGCAGAGTCTATGGCGATTAAACTCTTTCTTTTGACTTCTGAGGGGCTTTGGTCCCTGCTAGCCTAGCGGGGCCTGAAATACATTTGTTTGCATGCAGGCTCTTTGCTTCCACTTTCGCTTCAGGGAAATCGCTGTCCTTCCGTGCTCACACGCCTCCAGACGGTTTCTCCACCCCTGGGAGGAGTCTTCCTGGTCTTTGAAGTTCCCTGACTACACCTGGCTGTCTAAGGCCTCAGGGGCAGCTACCCCACAAGCAACTGCAAACTCAACTCTGGCTCCAATCGACCATTCATTCCCAGCCTATCAATCCCAGCACAAGCCCATTGGTAGATTTGTCTGCTTTGTTAATGAGCATTTTCCCTAGAGCCTAGAATGACGCTGGGCACATGAGAACTTTAATAATTGAATGAGAAATGCAACCAGGACAGATAAAGCCCCTTCAAGTTCACAAAGGTGTAGTAAATAGCCAGAATTTGTTGAGAGCTACGCTATGTGCCCAACATGGGTTCTGCTTTACATGAATTTACTCAAGACAACCCCACGAAGCTGTTTCTATCTCCATTTTACAGATGAGCTTCTAAACTTCGGAGACACATAAGTACAGGAACTTGTCCAAGATCACACTGCTGGGAAGTGAAGTGTTTATCAAAACCGGGTTGGAACAGTATTTGAACTTGGACCTTGAGGCAGAGTGGAAGGAACCTGCTGAATCTTTAGCCAGAGGAAGGTTTAAGTTCAGTTCCATTTGTGACTGTTGAGTAGGCAAGCTCTAACAGGAGTCCACTGCAGTAGAGATGCCCAATACTTAATGGTGAGAGTCAAATGCAACTGTGTAAAAAACTGCATATTTTTCTATTATTTTCACTTAGTCCAGGGTTTTTCCACTACGAGGAACTTACCGAACCCCTTTCTCAACAAGCCCCCATCCCAGGTGCAAGTGTGCCAAGTGCAAGGCTTAATAAATAGGCCTGTTTGAATCCTGGGTCCATCTAGTGACTTAGAACCAGCTCAGCTGGAGCACCTATCTCATCAGTACAACAGGGTCACAGTTAAGCATCTAAAGGTAAAATCCCAGATAGAAAGGCCAAACGCCTTTGCTGCAACACAGTGGTTACAAACCCAGTGCCCAAGCCCCCTGAATCACACTTTCTTGCCAACCTTTGCTAGCCAGGCCATTTGGGGACTTCTCCCTGGCTGCTCTGGGGCTCAGGCTTTTGTCATTGGCACCCATCCCTATTATCTAGAGCAGTTCTCTAGTGTGGTCATGAGCAGCCTCGTATCACCTGACAAATTGCTAGAAATTCTGACCCGCTAAATCTAAGTCACAGGGTGGGATGCTGGCACTCTGTGGTTCAATAAACAGCTTCAGGTTAGTGGTTCTCAATCCAAAGCAACTGATGCCTACTCAGAGGGGCCTTTGGTTTTCACAATGGGGGTGGGGTGGGGGGAGAGTTCTCTTGGTATGTAATGGGTCGAAGCCAGGGATGCTAAACAATCCTGCACCTAAAGATGTCAAGAGCAGCCCTTCTGGGAAAACAGTTATCACACTTTACCTATCAAGGGGCAGCCTATGGGGCTGAGGACAGAAGTAGCCCAAGTCTCACAAAGGCAGATCAAGCCTTTATATTTCCCCACAGCCCCTCATCCTCTACCCAGTGTCTCATCATATGAATGCTCTGTCTCAGTCAATAATACACGCAGCAGGCAGACAGGGATTTTTTGTATTTTTAATGACTGAAACAAAACAGATCTAGAAGCGCAGCTTCTGGAAGAACCATTTGTTCTTGCCGGTCTTGTATCTAGAGGGGGGAAAAAAAGACATCAATGAGGAGAGGAACAAGACAAAATTCACTTCAGAGAGAACAGTGAAACCATACCCCAGCATGCACTACCAAAGCCTACTTACCTCTCCTCGAACTTGACCTTGGCCTCTCGTCGGGCCTTGCGTTTAAGAGCAGGGTCTCTGAAGACATCCTTGTTGACGACAGTTTTGTCCAAGGGAATATCCACAGAGTACCTGGGGACAACAGTGGGGAGGTGGGAGCAGCCCACACGCTGGCAGGGCCTTCACCCCCTCCCCACCAAGTACTCCTGTGACATTGGGGTAAGAGGATCTGACCCCATAGAAGCAACCATCAAAAGCTGTGCCCAAGTCCTGATGATACTCTTTGAAAATCTCCAATTTTAAGCGACTCATTTACATAGTTTCAAACCACTGAAAAACTTCACATTTCATTCTCAATTTTCCATTAACTACTCTATTTTTCTATCTAAGAACCATCACTTTATTTGATCTTCTTGACTATGATCACGGCTGCTGGCTAGCTTTCCGTTTTATTTAGGGTTGTTCAAGTTCTGCCTATGCCTACGCCTACGTCATTATGACAACGCAAAAGCTGACTGGCTAGCTGCCTCAGCCTCACCGCTTTCCAGCAGCTGAGAAACAGCAAATTAAGGTCAACATGCACCCTGAGAGCAAACTTTCAAAGTGCGTGCTGCTGCGTTTTGGCAATTATTGTCCAGGAGTCTCTCTAATCTTGTATTTCCTTAAAACTCTTGTACCAAGATAGTGCATATGCTACACACTACTGTGGAAGGCCAGGAACTAAAGGGCCCAGTAGTTGACTGGAATTAATTGTCGGAAACTTGCTTTCATTTATTTACCACATTTTAAAAAGCCTATAACAACTATCCTTGAGAGTGGAACAGTGGACGATGGCAAGCCAGATCCTATGCCTATGTTTACTGTGGATGGAAACAAATGAAACAATTTTTAATCAACACTTAGAGAATTTTCAGATGAGGAGAGAGACAGATCAAGAACAAGCTTGGAAGAGATTTTTCAATCCTGCTTGGCCAAGTCAGGGAAGTCACTACAGAAAACGACAGGAACAGTTCCAAGATGGATTAAAGAGGCAACACTGAAAACCACAAACACTTTATAAGTGACCAATGGAAAATGATGTCTCTTTCCCACATTGGAGTGGCTACAAGGTTGTCTCCTTATTCAGTAGGGCAGAGAGGGGGGAAAAGAAATCAAGTCACTTGCATTACCATGCTTGAAAGGCTCACCTTGTGGGCATGAGGTGATTGTAGTTATAAACTTTCACAAAAGACTTGATCTTTGACCTCTTGGCAATTTTCTTCTTGCCCATGGCAGCTGTCACTTTGCGGGGATAGCGGTCAATCCCAGCCACCAGGGCATGGCTGTAGGGGCGGTCTGAGGTGCCATCATCAATGTTCTGAATGACCAAGAATGACATTAGTTATTAACCGAATGACTATTTAAACTGTGCTAGATGTAGGGCATGTATAGAAATAGGCCACCCCCAGGTCTCTGAGACCCACTGTTACAAAAACCACACAAAGCAGACATTCTAAGTGCTATGCTAAATGCCCAAAGAGTAGCAGGGGTAGGAGTGGTATTCATTCTCACCAGAAGACTCTGGAAAGGCTCTTGGGAGATAAGAGATTTAAAAGAAACAACAGGGCCTGCCCCGGGGTTTAGCGGTTAAGTGCCTGCGCTCCGCTGCTGGCGGCCCGGGTTCGGATCCCGGGCGTGCACTGACGCACCGCTTCTCCGGCCATGCTGAGGCCTCGTCCCACATACAGCAACTAGGAGGATGTGCAGCTATGACATACAACTATCTACTGGGGCTTTGGGGGGGAAAAAAAAAATAAATAAAATTATAAAAGAAACAACAGTTAACATTTATGGAGTGCTTGCTGTGTGCCAAGCACTGGTTCTTAGGCCTGTACATCTCTTAACTTCCTCCACGACTGCACTGCTAGTAAGGTAGAGAGGCCCACACTGGCAGCCTAACTCCAGAAGCCAGCCTCAGGTGGAGGAAGGGGAAGCAAGGGTGCCCGGTGACCCCACAACAGCCAAAAGCAGTGGTGTACGTGGCCAGAGCTCAGGGAGATCTCACAAGAGGCTACAGAACGCAGGCAGAAGGCAAACAGTGAAGGGCTAGAATATGGTGAGTGACCATTTTGACTAGAAACAACGTGTCCTCTTTGCAGAGCCGTCCCAGCTGCAGCACTTAGTACCTGTTTGACCTCAGGTGAACTACTAACATCTCTAGACTTCATCAGCAGAAAGGAAGTCCCCACGGTTACTGCCAGGATGGACCCGACAACACCCCTAAGGCAGTGCTGGGCACCAAGCAAGCGTTCAATAAACGCTGGCTACTATCATTATTTGAAGCCTCTTTGGTAGAGGACGACTTATGAGTTAGCTGCCCAATTCAACTCACATTTGTTTTTATTTCGCATCTTCCTCTCTCAAAAGCTCTGATGCGCTCACCCCACCACCACTCGCAATGCTCAGTAGGCAATGCCCCCAAACTAGGCCTGGAATTCCAAGCTTGCCCGCCCCCGAAACCGGCCCGATTCCCGGGAGACGAGGGCGCAAAGGCTCGCGAGGCTGGTACCTTTACGATGACCGCTTTGCGTCCGGAGTAGCGTCCAGCCAGAACCAGCACCACCTTCCCGGGTTTCATGAACTTGCCCATTTCTGCAGAAACGAAGGAGAAGGGGCCGCTCAGAAACCCGCAAGCTGAGGCTGTGGTCCGGAAACTTCAGGCTGCCCTCACTGCCGTCTTGGCCCAGGCCGCTTGCGGACCCTGCTCGCAGAATGGGATCCGTTACGAAGCCGCCAGACACCGATGTACGGAAAGCACCCAGCGCTGCCCCGCAACTCGACCCCGAGGCCGCGGATGGCGGCGGATTGGAATACCCTGGGCAAGACTCCACTCACCGACAGCAACCAGCCGAGTCTACAGCAGAAAGGAAAAAACGATATTTCCGCTAACCTTTCACCCCGGGAGAGGGGATCTCACTTCCGGTTCCGCCCCTTAGGCCTCGCCCCGCCTCTTGCGCGGCGCTCAGAGTCTGTGTTGTGGGCGGAAGAAGCTCCTGAGGGGAAAGCAGAGCCTGGCGGCTGAGTTATTCAAATCAAACTTTACTAGCAGCTCTACCAGTAGACAAGAGCAAAG